CCAATCGGACGATCGTCGCAGGTTGCAGTTGTGCTACTTCGTTGCTGCGTCTCGTGCTCCTATCCCCTGCTGATGCCGTTGTTCAGCGTTATGCGCCCGTCGATCTCGCGATTGTGGTTGATGACTTGCAGCTGCAAAGGTCTGGGGGTGCTTGGGAAGTTGCTCATGCTTTAAAAGGTGCTGAGGACCTCCTCACCTCTGAGCTGCTCCAGATAGGGCTCAGCATTTCGCTCTCCAAGAAGCGCCAGACGGTCGTCGGTCAGAACCTTCGGAGCGTCGTTCGCAAGGTCGACCCGTCTTCGGCCAAGTTCCTGACCAGATCGGTACGCAACTTGGGATTGGATTCCGAGGGTGGCCATCGTGTGCAGCATGCTGTTCGTGCTAAGCCTTTGGGCAAGATGGCTTCCAGGATCCCTAGGTACAAGCGATTGGCAAAAGCTGGGGGCAAAACTATCAAACTGGTCCAGACGGGCTTCAAACCTGGTATGCTGTGGGGTGTCGGAGTGCATGGCGTCAGTCATACCCATCTATTGCGGGCTCGGCAGCTTGCGCGTGCTGGCTTCGTGCACAGGCATACTGGCAGATCCCTGTCTCTCGATCTCATGATCGCAGGCCGCCAGGTCGACCCAGCCTATGAGTGCAATCGTGGGCCAATTTTCTTCTGGATGCGTGCCCTTTGGGATGGATGGGCGGCGAGATCCGACATGGCGCGTCTTCTGAGCGGGGCTTGGGCTCGCCTGTCGGCGCTTCCCGAGAATAAGGTTTGGTCCGAAATCCGTGGACCTGTTTCGGCCCTTGCGGGCGCGATGATGCGGCTAGGTTGGAAGTTTTGGGACCCTTTCCGCTGGATGACCCATCGGGGTCCCGTGCGTATTGAAAAAATTGTCGCCGAGGGATGTGGGTCGGTTGGCTGACGAGGCTACCGGGCGATGGATTTGACAGCAGGTTCTGGCGAAGCATGCGTCATGGGCCTCGTTGTGTCCCCATCCTCCTCTCCTCGAGCCTCTGAGGTCCCTTGTCCTTCCTGCCTCGCTCAAAGGCCCCGATTGGACCCCCAAGCATCAAGAGCTCCTCAAGTGCCTTTTTGCGGGAGGTTTTTGGTCTCCAGAGAGGTTATATGAAGCTGGTGGGGCTATTAATCCAGAGTGCCTGGCGTGCAGGAGCGTAGGCTCCACCTGGCACCGATTCTACGACTGCCCTGTGCACGCCGAGTATCGTCGGGATTGCAAGGCAGGTTTTGAGCTGGCCAGTCAGATACTTGAGTTAGCGAAGACGACTGCTGACCGCTCACTGCTTTGGACCCGCTTTCTTGTCCCTGATCCGTCCTGGCTGTTTCCGAGCCCCTGCCTCGAGGAGCGCGTGGTATGAACCCTGCGTCCGCCCGATTTGCTGCTCGACGTGCATGTGTTTGGAGATGGCTCGGGAGTGCATGGGCAGTTTGGCCGTCTCAGGAGATGTGGGTGGGGGCTGTGCTCTCTCGACTCCCAGTGGAAGGAGGTTGCGAGAATGCACGGTCCGCTTCCCAGTTTGTGTCAGACAGTGCCCGCAGCGGAGCTTTTCAGTTTCCTCATGGCTCTCCGCTACATGGGGGCGCAGATGAAGTTCTTTACTGACTGCAAGCCTCTTGTAGACGTTTGGCGCCAGGGGTCAGGAGCTGGCACGGACGCTAATGACCCCATGGCCTACTTATGGAGGGAGGTTTGGAGGCTGGTGTCTGACCGTGGGGTGGAGGCGGCGGAGGTGGCTCATGTCAAGGCACACTCGCCTGTCTCCGCCATCGCGGATGGAGTGATCACGTCTTGGCAGCGTTTCGGCAACGCTCAGGCCGACTCGTCAGCCAAGCGTGGGGCTGCGATGCATCCTGATGCGAAGATGTTGCGCGAAGCTCACCGTGCCTCGCGTCGTGCTGTCCAGAAGGTTGCCCGGTTTTGTACGCGTGTCGCGGCGAGGATAGGTGATGCCACCCCGCTGGACGCGCAGGCTCAGGCCCTGGGTAGGGCCATCGGCACCATCGAGGGAGGTTTCGGCCCGCCTAGGCCGCGCTCGCGGTATGATCCTGCGGTCACATTTTGTGGCCGACGCTATCGCTGCATGGTGTGTCTCCGCTAGGCCAAGGCCCGACTCACACTGCGCGAGCTCAAGTGTCAAGACAGAGTTGGTATGCACTCGCTGCATCGGGTGGGGGCAGTTTTGTTCTGTTCTCTGTTCGGAGCTTATTCCGAATAACGCAGCCAGGGTCTCTCGGGCGAGCGCCTGACGAGTCGGCGCAGGTTCGGCGCGCAATTGAGGGGCTTTCGTTTTTATCGCCTTCAGAACCTGCTGAAGGGCTGCCACCTTAACAAATCGAGTTTGTTTCTAGGGCCTCCAATTTTGTTGCGGAAGAGGAGGCCCGTAAAGATGGCGAGCATGCCGCCACTTCCCTCGCTCCCTCTGACCTCTGGGGTTGGGAGTGGGTCGGACGTGGGGGTGGGGTGGTCGGGGCAGGAGCTGTTTTCTCCTCCTGTGTCCCAGGCTGTTTCGGCCTTGAGGGAGGACCTTCGAGGCCTCCCGTTTGCCAGCGACTCGGATGACGACGACGACCTCTCCCGCGATTTGCGGAGCTGGGTCGAATAGCGTCTCCATCGTTGGCCGTCACTTTTTAAACAGGCTGGTACGCGTGCGGCTGGTCTTTGTCAGTGCAAAAGACATGCCCGACCTCAGGCTAGGACGAAGATGCATATGTTCTAGAGCGCTCCAGAACGCGCTGAGAGCGTCCTGGAGCGCCCTGAGAAGGCCGCGACGCACGACGCGTCCTCCATGTCCGGAGCCGCCAGATGTCATGGATTTTCGACTTAACCTCACCCGATGTTATCTTCGCCCAGGCTTCATCTTACAGTTAACTCGCATAGTAGGGCTGGGCAGCCCTTGCATCCGTAATTACCTCTTGGATCATCCTTAGCCACCTTCGTTGGCCGCCCCCCGCTCGAAAAGCTTCGAACTGGGCGCCCAATGCCCTTGCATCCGTATCGCGCATCCTTCTGATACGGGCCGACTGGCGGGAAAGGGGAGGAGAGAAGGGGGAGGGGCGGAGGAGCAGAGGAGGAGGAGGGGGAGAGGAGGGGATTGACGGGAGAGGGGAGGAGGAGGAGGAGGAGAGGAGGAGGAGGAGGAGGAGGAGGAGGAGGAGGAGGAGGAGGAGGAGGAGGGAGGAGGAGGAGGAGGAGGAGGAGGAGGAGGAGGAAGAAGAGGAGGAGGGAGGAGGAGGAGGAGGAGGAGGAGGAGGAGGGGGACAATTGAGGAAAGTCGGATGAGGAGAAGGAGGAGGACGAGGAGCGCATCCTCTAGCAGAGAAAGAGCGTGTTCTACCGCTGCTGGCGGAAAACCGAGGGGAGTCACGGGTTGGTCCCAGCCCGTCAACCCGTCCCCCCCCCTTTGAAAACCGGGGGGGGCATTGCCGATTCTTAACCCCCCCTCCACCCCCGTTCCCAATCCATCATGAACAGGAGGGAGGGGGGTCACTACTGTTTCGATCCCCCCGCCCCCCCCCCCCCTCGCCGCTGGTAAACAAACGATTCCCGCTCCTCGGGACAGTGGGCCAGTGGGGCCAGTGGTGGGGATACTGGGACAGTGGTGGGGACGGTGGTGGTGGGGACAGTGGAGTGGGGACAATGGGACAGTGGTGGGGACGCTGGGACAGTGGTGGGGACGGTGGTGGTGGGGACAATGGTGAAAGGATAACTGGACTGGTGGTGACAGTGGGGACAGTGGGGCTGTGGTGGGGACGGTAGTGGTGGGGACAGTGGTGAGGGCGGTGGTGAGAACGGCGGTGGGACAATGGGACGGTGGTACAGTGGGGAGAGTGGTGGGGACAGCAGGGAAAGTGGGACAGGGGTGGGGACAGTGGGGACTGTGGGACTGCACAGTGGGACAGCGGTGGGGACAGTGGGAGAGAGGGGACAATGGTGGGAACAGTGGGGACAGTGGGACAGTGGTGGGGAAATTGGGGACAGTGGGACAGTGGTGGGGACGGAGGTGGTGGGGACAGTGGTGCGGGGTCAGTGGGACAGCAGCGGGGACAGTGGGGACAGCGGGACAGTGGTGGGGACGGTGGTTGTGGGGACGGTGGTGAGGGCGGTGATGAGGACGGTGCTGGGACAATGGGACAGTGTTACAGTAGGGACAGTGGTGGGGTCAGTGGGGACAGTGGGACAGGGGTGGGAACAATGGGACAGCTCAGTGGGACAGCGGTGTGGACAGTAGGGACAGTGGGACAATGGTGGGGACAGTGGGACAGTGGTGGGAACAGTGGGGAGAGTGGGACCGTGGTGGGGACAGTGGTGGGGACAGTGGTGGGGACAGTGGTGGGGACTGGGGGGACAGTGCGACAGTGGTGGGGGCACTTGTGTGGACAGTGGGGACGGTGGTGGGAACAGTGGGGACATGTGCAGTGGGACAGTGGTGGGGACGGTGGTGGTGGGGACAGTGGTGAGGGCGGTGGTAAGGACGGTGTTGGGCAGCCGGGAGTCGTTTGTCGGCTGCGAGCGGGGGGGGCGGGGTTCGAACCGGGATGAGACCCCTCGGTTTTTTGGAGGGGGGGGGATTCGATTTGTAGTGAGGGGGGGGCTTTAGCTAGGGGGGGGTGGGTCTTGCCGTGGGAATTGCTGAAGGAGGGGAGGGGGGGGGGGGAGGGCGGGGGAGGGGTTCGAGCAGGGGTGGGGGGATTTTCGGAAGGAAGGGGGGGGAACCCCGGGTTCCCCGGAGGATTTGTCTTTTTGTTTGTTCTTGTTTTTTTCTCCCATAATAGATGTATATGTATATCTTTAAATAACGCATACATATATATATATATATATATATCAATATACATATATCGTGGTGGATTAAAACCGTTTTTTTAACGCGCTTGTTTGTTTAACAATGGGCGTTTAAAAACAGTGCAGCGGCGGTGGATCACGCTCTCTCCCAGCAGGGCAGGGCTGGGCAGTGTCACCCCTCTGCGGCACCGGCGCCCGCCGTCCGAGGCGGAGCGCCCCGGCGCCCCGCGGCCAGAGGGTCGGGCGCGGCCCAGAGGCGCCCGGGGGGCCGCGCGGGTGGCGCGGGCTGTGCGGATCAAGCAGTGGCGAAGCGTCCTGGCTCGCCCATAGCCCTACCAAACAATGTTCTAAGAACCTCTTGCGGTTTCCACGAAATGCTCTTAGAACATTTCTGGCAGAGTCTGTCTTGTTTTTGTTATCACATCGGGCTTATATTCTGAGAACATTGTTTTTGTTCTTAGAACATTTGGGTTCTAAGAACATTTCGTGGTAGGACTATAGGAATGCCGGGACGGTCGGTCCCTGCTCAAGTTGAGTTCTTGAGGCGTGCAGGACATTGTGTGGTCAGTCCCAGAGGAGGGGAAGGTACTGATACTGCTTGGCTTAAGGCGGGCGTGTCCCTCTCCAGGAGGAACATTTGGAAGAGTCGAAAACTAGTCAGGGGACAATGTTTGGAATATTTCTGCAAATTTGATGGATATGTTCTGACTATTTTCAATGTTTCGCCCCAAATCGGCCTGTAGTGGGACATGCCCGACCTAACTCTAGGCCTCCCAGATGGGGGACGGAGTAGATGGGGTCGGAGGATCGCGCCGCATCGCCGATGCATTGCCGATGCGGCTCGATACGGAACACGATTTTCTCCACGCCGACGTCGCCGATGCGTCGCCGACGTCGGCGATGCATCACCGATGCATCGCCGATGCATCGCCAATACATTGGCGATGCGGCGCGATTCTCCAACCCCATCAACTCGGACCCCATCTAGGAGGCCTCTAGAGAGGAAGGTACTGATACCGCTAACTGTTGGTATTTGTGGGTGCCCAGATGCCAATCCCATTTAGCCGCCTTCCTACTTTACGAGTCGAGCGGTGTTCCATCTTCCCTCCTCTTCAGGGGCGGGCGGAAACCCAGTCTGCTCCCAACGCCTTCCTGCTTCATAGTTCTACCTGCTTCTCCCGACCGACGGGTACCCTTCCCTCGCCACACGGCTGGGTTCGCCTCGAAGTTCTGGTCAGAACGCATCCCATGAGAGGTCGCGTGGAGTAGCGGTATGGGTATCACGGCATCTCCTTGTTCTCGGCATCGCTCGGACGTGTGCATTTTTCTTTCGGCGAGGACCATCGAGGAGCATCCTTGATCATTTGGCGAAAAAACCACGCACGAAACCGAACAAAACACAGGGAATGGACGTCCGAGCGATGGCGAGTGTTTCCCCATGGGTCAGTAAAGGGTCCGAATGTTATTGCGATGTATTCGCAGCTCGAGGTTTTCGCACGCTGCCGCCGGTCCCCGGGGGGCTCTCCGGCCTCGGGGTGCGTTCCAGCAGCGGCGCCTCGCCGACGGCGTTCCAGAGGTGCCCGGCTCGTCCCGAACGGCCGCCGGAGACCCGAGTGACGGCCCAGAAGCCGACCATTCGGAGGATGGCCGGTGTGGTGAGCAAGTGGGGATTCGGGACGACCGCACGGTTCGGGGGTGGACAGAACCCCCCATAGTGACACGTCGATTAGTGAATTGTCCGTTTTCGGTTCTCGAGAGGGCGCCGTGGCCGTTATTTTACAGGCTTGCCCCCGCAAGGTTTGGGCTTCAGGTCGTTTTCACTAGACCACGTTTTACTAAAGGGGGGTCTGTCCATCCCCGAACGGCCCAGAAGCCGACCATTCGGAGGATGGCCGGTGTGGTGAGCCAGTGGGGATTCGGGACGACCGCACGGTGGCGGGCCGTGCGGTGAGGTCTTTCGGGGCTTCGAGTTCATCACGCGGTCTGTCATCGTACCGTTTTGGGCCTCTCATGCGGATCTCGCCCCCAACCCCCCTTCACCTCAGGCTCCCGCTCTGCCTCCTCCTCCTCCTCCTCCTCCTTCTCGTCCTCCCCATCCCTTTTGATTGTACGTGGGCTCCTCCCCATCCCTTTTGCTTAAGCAGGTATCTCCTCCCTGTCGTACCCCTCAGGGTCCATTTCGATCTGATCAGTCTGATTCGATGTCGATTCCAGCTGGCCCGATCCGAATCGATTCCTGGACTCCGACGATTCGATGCCACTTGATCCTGTCCCTACACCCTCTTTTCTATCTCCCGCAATTCCGTCTCCTTCGATTCTCTCCCTGGTAGACAAGCTCCAACCTGTCGCACCCCCAGACGTGTTGTCAGGGCGGGCTGCTCGTGCCGCCTGAGAATTCCTTACCTTTCCGTTGCGCGGAGTTGCGCGGAGTGAGCACCCTCAACGCCACATGCTGTCGTTGTGAGATTTCCAACATTTTCGAGGACGGAGCGTGGGACGTTTAAGGAACGGATCTCTCGCCTGAGCGCCGCGCACACTCTTTTGAAACAAATCTTGCAGCAGCTCGCAGGATGGAGATGTGGTCGTTTTCGAAATGGAGCTCTCGGCGTAACGCCGCTCTCATTCTCTCTCATTCTCAGAATGAAGCTCTCGCCTGAGAGCCGGTTATGCTGAAGGGCCAGCAGCTTCAACATGTGTAGCAGCTGCACTGATGGAGGGCGGTTCCTTTCAGAAGGGGCCTCTCACTTGAGACTTCCCCGAAGTGCATGACCAGAAGAGCCTGAACCAGTGCAACAGTTGCACGGGTGAGGGCTGCCCTTTTTCAAGGTTTGGGATCTCGGCGGACAGTTCGTGGAATTCTATGGCCGTGCTGGTCCTTTGCATGTTTGATTGCGCGCTGGAAGGCTGCGAGGCGGCTCCTTCTGAAGAGGAGGCACCTCGCCTGAATGGCAGGCCCACGGGAAGTTCGTCTCTCGAGGGGCGCAGCTTGCGGTGGCGAGGCAGGCCTGCGGGGGACCTGTGAGGAGGGGACCCGGTGCGGCAGGGCTCACTGCAGCATTTGCTGCGTCTTGGCTTCACTCTGGTCGAACTTCTCCTCGTCTCCCTTACTCCCGCTCCTCACCCTCATCCTCCCCCTCCCACGGACTGTGCGGTGCGCTCCAACCTGACCTCGAGCGTGAGACGTCACGATGTGTTCGATCGTCGGAGATGTTGTGTTTGTGCGAGTGCGTACATAATGTGTGCGAGCAGGCGTGTCTGATATCAGACATGCAGCGCAAGGCTGGGTCCCTTTCTTAGTATGTTCTTATGGGTATGCTTATTTGTCTTCGTCTTTTCGTTTTTTATTTTTCTTCCCCCTCCCACCCCATGCTCTTCCTGCCGCGCCTCCCGCTGCTGCTCCTCCTCCTCCGCCCCTGGCTCCTGGCCCCTTAGAAGCTCCATCACCACCACCACCCCTTCCTCGGCCCCTCCTCTCGCCCCTCCTCTCGCTCCTCTCCGTTGTCCTCCTCCTCACCCTTGCACCCCTCTTCCCACTCACCCCAGCGAAGGAGGAGGAGGAGGAGGAGGAGAAGGAGGGGGAGGGGGAAGGGGAGGAGGAGGAGGAGGAGGAGGCGGAGGAGGAGGTGCTGCTCCTGCTGCCTCGGCCTCTTCCCGGGCACCGCTGCAGCTTCTTCCTCGGCGGGCCCCCCCATGCCCGTCGATGCCGCCCTGGCCCTCCAGGACTCGCGGGCTGGCCCCTCCGCGTCGCTTCGGCCCGATCGGGTGCTGCAGAGGTCGGGGGCGGCCAGGAGGGGAGTTGTGACTGCGAGCTCTCCCGCCTCCGCCTCCGCCTCCGCCTCCGGGTGGAAAGCCGCGTACGACTCCCGGGCCTTCAGGATGAACCCGCGTGCGACCTGGAATCTAGTCGGAGGCGAAAATCGACCTGGGCACATACACATCACAGCCACGAACACCCAGGAGGGGGGTTGTGACTGCGAGCTCTCCACACCCAGATGGCAGTGTGCTGCCCCCCTGTTGAGCCAGCCTGCGCCTCGCACCGGCCCAGGCTCCGGCCGCCGCATACTCGACCTTTGTCGCCTCGTCGCCGCCCGCGATGCCGTCACGACCGCCAGAAGTGTGTGTGTGTGTGTGTCTGTGTGTGTGTGTGTGTCTGTGTGTGTTTCTTGGCCTGCCTTGCTCCTCGTCCTCTACGGTCCTCGCCCGCCTCGCCCTGTCTGCTCAGGCACAGCCGTCACTGGCCTGTCGGCGTTCTCCCTCGTCTTCCCGCCGTGCCCACGCTGCCCATTCCCTGGTATGATGCGCATGGCGTGGTTGATCCCTTCGTGTGGGTCTCTGCCCCATTTTCTGACCGTCCGGCCGCGCGCGTCCCTTGTTTTCCTTCTCTCGATTTTTCTACACTTCGACGCTATGCGTGAGGCCGCGGCGCCAAAACATGTGCGTGCGTGTGGAGGCCTACGTGTGCGAGATGTGATTCCGTGGGCCCGCAGAGTGGATGTCCGCCGGCTTTCTGAAGGCAGTCACGCCGTTCTCCTTCCCAAAGAATTTGTTCGTCGTTGCTTGGTCGTCAGTGGCGGCCTGGGCTCGCGCACGTAGCGCAGTTTGAGGGCTCGGCCAACGATGGTCCCAGAGGCCAGCAGCGCGTCAGGGTGCCTCGACAGTTTAATTGTCAGCCCTGAAATGCGACCGTTTCAGTTAGCGTGCTGTCATGGTTGTCCTGGAGCTTTCTCTTTCGGCTGGCCGACGCCGTGCGACACGTACAAGAACGCGAGCGCCAGCTTTAATTGGAAGTGTCCCTTCTTCGCCAAGGCGGGCATGTTATTCAGGAGCGCGCGGGTGGGTTGGTTTGGGCGAGGGAACCCGTCAACCCTCAGTGTGAGGTCCCGGCAAGTGGACCGATTGTGTTCGCCGGCATTGCCTGGCAACCGGTCGGCGGATGGCTTAGCTTTACGCGCCGCGTCGGTATGGCTGCCGCTGCGCGTGCAAGCTCGCGAACTCCGCACCGCGTTCAACGGTCGGCTTGAAGAGCCGTCGCATCAAAAGCAGGGGCTGCAGTAGCAATGGTCGCACTCGGAAGAGTGAACCTGCGCAGGCCGCCGCCTGCGTGCTGTCTCGCCGATATCCTGGGATCTGCCCCCAAGCTGCGGCGCCGTCTGCCGAGGAAACCACGGCGAGGGGAGCCAGAGACACTGTTCTCTCTGCGCGCTACGCAGGACACGCACGCATCGGCGTCAGACACGGCGCCCGCAGTGCGGCGTGCGCTGAACAGTTCAATGGTTCCTTTCGTGCCTCGCTGCCTCCGCCTTCCGCGCCCCGAGTAATTTAGAGCTGCGGGCTGCTCCTCGTCTTCCCCTTTTTTCTCCCTCCTTCGGTCACCCCTCCTCCCTCGCCTCCTGCTCTTCTCTCGGGCCAGACGAAAGGGGGGGATTGGGAAAGGTGGGGTTACGAAATTTGCTGCATGCAGCTGATTTCGGCCTCGCCGAGGGGCCCATTTCCTCGATACGTAGCCGCCTCCGGTGCCGGAAGGCGCCGGGAAAATCAGCTACGTGAGCTGATTCTCACCCCCCCCTTTGCTATCCCCCCCTTTCGCCCGACCCGATTCTCCCTTGGGTGCACGCGTGGCGTCGCGCGGCATGGCGGGCGGCGCGCAGTGGCACTTCTGCGGCTGCCACACGCCTCTGTCCTGCCAGCGTGGACGAAACCCGAAGTTTTCCTGGAGTGTTGCACGAGGGTTCCTGTCAGCCCTCCATTCGCCCCCCTCTCATTTTAGTTATTGTATTGTCTCGTGCTGCCACAAGGCAGCCCGAAACCCGAGGGTGTGAAGGTTTGCGTCGACATTCGCGGTGCGTCGACGCGCGCCTCAGTTGAGCCCCGCCTTGGGGCCCACAGTCTCCGTCTCCCATTCCATTCCTCTTTCGAACAAAAAAACGACATACACATAATTGATTGGCGCTTCGCGCGATTTTTTTGACCTTTGCTCCGACGCCGCCCCTGGCGCGCTCCGAGGGGGTCCCAGCGCAGATCCAAGAAATCCGCGCGAATAGTCCACAGTTTTTAATGGCGCCTCTTCCTTGTGTATTTTTCCGCCTTACTGGAGTCAGAAACGTGTTACTGTTTGTCTGCGCTTCTGCTGGAGTTGTCACCTGGGCGCCCAGAGTGACGGGGACTCGAGCGAGGATCTCCGAAGCCAGCTCGCTCGCCTTCCTCGTCCTCGTCGTCCTCGTCCTCTGCATTTCTTGATTGTAGTTCGTAACATATTCGTTGCGCGCTGCCGCCTTCTCAGGCCGTCACTCAGACGCTTCCGTTGCGTGATGCGCAGACAAGGAAGACAGGAAAGAGGTGGTTCGACGACTTCTCGCACTGTGTACGAGCTGCCACTTGGAATACTACCAAGACGTGGTCAGCTGTTGCTCGAGACTGGACACTATGGAACAAGTGGGAGAAGGACTGCTTCGCACACGCGCACATCTGATCGGGCCGCGGCCCGCCCGCGCCGCTCCCAAGGGGCCCGCCTGCCAGCAGACGTGCGTGTCTCGTCGCGTCTCTGCCCTGTCAGGGGTACATGTTTGTCCTCGTTTTGAGGCCCCTCCCCGGCAGAGGTTGTTCTTGTCTGTTCCGTTGTGCCTGTTACCGTTGCCAAAATTCGGCCACGTTCGCAGGACAACCCTGGGGGGGCATGCTTTGTCGACGGCGCGTTTGGCGAGGCTAATTGCGTGAATTGTTGCTGTCCGTTCCCAGTTGCTCCCTCCCCAGAAAATGTGTGCGTGAGTGTGGATATCATGGCCAAAGGCATGAGGCCAACCCCCTTTTCATCTGTCAGTACGTCCTTTGCCCCCCCCCCCATCGTCCGCGCACATGCCTCGGGCCATGGATCGCGAGCCCCCCCTCTTGGGTGTTTCCTTTTGGACGCCTTCGATTTCTTTTCCCGATCGGCTGTTGCAGAGGTCTTGCGGCCGATTCCGCTGACCTTGTGAAGAGAACGGTCTGAACGCAGGAGACGGAAAGGCCAGAGGACCTTGGAGGTTCTTTGTTTTCTTGCAACTTCAGCCGGTTCCTGTGGTGGGCACCTATGTGGGCCAGCGGGAAAGGGAACCCTATTGTTTTCGCCTACGTGGGGGGCAACAGAGGGGGATAGCGACTTCGCCGATGTGAGAAACAATCGAATGGCTGTCGGCCCAGCCATTATCTTGATTGTGTTGTGGCTTTGAGGTTTTTTGGATGCTGTCGAGGATCTCGCCGACGCATCTCGGGGATGTCGTAGGGGCCTTTTCTCGACCAAGGGCGTATCTATTGTCACACCCGTGATGGTGGGAGAGCACCGCGACGCCTCGCGCGCCAGTGCCAGGAATAACCCGAATGGCTAGTTAGAGTCAGCACAAGTGACATGTGGTGATGTTGCGAGCAGGGCCGAGGGCGATTGCACTGTCTGATATATTGTTCGGACAATTTCACGGCGGGTGTGAACCTGGGGGATGTTGCGTGTCTCCTGTTTTTGTTGGAGTCTTTTTCGGAACGCTCGCTGGAGCCTCTCGGGCGCAGGTCTGTAGTCGTTTGGGCGCCTCTGGAGGGCGTCTGGGGAGCCTCTCGGGGGCGTCTGGGGCTTTCAAAGGGGCCTGTTGGGGGCGTGTTGGGGCCTCTGGGCGCCTGCTGGGGCTTCCCAGTGTTCCTGGGGGCCGAGTGCTTTAAAATGTCCAGTCGGTCTCCCGTATGGACCCCCTCTTGGAACTGATTCGGAACGCTCGCGGGAGCTTCTGGGGTGTACGTTCGGGGCCTCTCGGGATCTTCTTGGGGGCGTCTGGGTGGCTTCTTTGGGGCCGCGGGGGCCTCTTGTGGGCGGCTTGGAGCCTTTTTCTGAGCCTCTGGGGGCCTCCTGGAAGGTTTCTGTGGGCCGAGTGCTCGAAATCTTCGTTCGGGCCCCCCGTTTGGGCCCCCTCCTGGAATCGTTTTGGGGGCGCCTGGGCTGTCTTGGAGGCATCTCGGGCCGTCTTGAAACCCCTTTGGGCCGTAGTGGGGCCCTCTTGGAAGCTTATTGGGCCATGTTGGGGCGGTTTTGGATTTTTTTTTGGAAGCGGAGAAGCGCGATAACGCGAATATCAATGAATGCCTCCTGGTTTGGGTCCCTGTTGGGAAGGCTCTTGGACGCCTCTTGGGGCCTCCAAGGGGCATCTTCGGCCGTGTGCCGGCCATCTTGGGCGTCCTGGACCGATCGTTCGACGACCCGCGACCCTCTTCGGCCGTCGCTGGGGCCCTTCTGAAGGCTCCCTCGGCGCCCCAGAGGCTCGGGCGGCACGCCCCAGGAGGGCGTGGCAGCGCCCGAGAGCGCCCCGGAAAAGCCTGGGGCCGGGGCCCCGGAGCCTGGAGCCACCGCTTCTCTCGACTGGACGTCAGAGTGACCTTTCGCCGGAGTGACCTTTGGTGCGGGCACAGATGGGCCCTCAGATGGCGGAGAACGAAGCAGTCGCAGCGGCTTGCGCGCCCAGGTTTGGGCTCCCCGCGGCCCCCAAAAAGCCGCGCACCAAGGGTCGCTCTTACCCAGGGGTCACTCTTTGCGTGTAGCCGCTTCTCTACCTCGCAGAGCTTGACGAGCCTTTGGGCCCTCCGCTGCGTGCCGAGGGCACGGTGGCGGATCTCTCGGGGGGGGGCGCATGGGCAGGGGAATAAAAAGTGGCATAAACATACAAACTCGGATCGGCGCTGGGGCCCCCCGGCGGGCCTCCGGCGCCGCCCCTGGCGCGCTACGCGCGCCAGGGAGGGGGGTCCAGCGCCGATCCGAGAAATCCGCGCGGACCTCCGAGTTTTTATGATTATGTCACTTTCTGTTCCCCTAATGGGGGCACGCGTCAGCGAGCTGCGATCCAGGTTCGAGGAAACATTGGTGGCCGTCGGCCCATCCCGGCACCGTGCTGCGGTGGTGGATCCTGGGCCTTCTTGGGAACTGGTGTGGTCTGGGGGCCTCCTGCGGGTGACTTCTGGGGAGGCCTCCCGGGGGGCGTCTTGGGAGTATGCTCGCGGTCTGGGGGGCCTTCTTGGGGGGGAGCTCGGGGACTCTTGGAACTAACCCTTCTGTGCCGCGCTTGGGAGTATCTTGCGGTCCTCAGGGGCGACTCTTGGGAACTCCGGGGCCGTATTGGGCGATTTTGGGATTCTCTGGAGCGGCCTTGGACGGTCGCAGAAACGCAGACTTGAGAATGCTCAGATCGTGCAGGAACCTACGGGTTCAGGTTTCTCGCGTTGGCCCGAGTGGCCCCGAGAGTTTTCCAACGGGCCTCACAGGACGAGCCCCTGGGACCATCTCAGGACATGTTCGAGGTTTGGATTCCCAACCGCGCGGCGTGTCAGCCCGAGGCAAGCAGCGGAAGGCAAGTCCCCCCCGGCCCCTCCCCAGAGGGAAACATCATGCTCAAGGAGTCGTCTCGCGCGTGTTTTTCGTGGTTTAGATGTTGTTGTTTGTTTTGGACAGAGGCATGGATGATCTCCAATGAGATGAGAAGCCCTTCGCGCACGCATGCAGGATCGGCGGATTTAAGACTGTCCTCCATTCGCCCGCTGTCTCAACGGGGCCAGCGGATTCTCTCGACTAGCCAGACGTGGAAATAAGGTCCGTGTTGTGAGAGAAGAAGATATCATCGTGGGAGGGGAACATGCTCGGGCTACGAGTAAAAGGTAGTGCGTGTGCATGGTTTGCTTTCACAGTTCCTTTCCTTCTCCCTCAAGCGTCACCCCTGCTATCCTTTCCCTCTCCCTCCTCCTTCCCCGTCCCCCTTCCCCATTCAGAATGTAGTGCCTGTCTCCGTCCCCTCTGTCCCGCCCGCGTCCTTGGGCCTCCCCTCTTCCGCCTCTCCTCTCTCCGTCCCTCCCTACTCTCTCTCTCTCTCTCCTCACGCTCGCTCTCTCTCTCTCTCTCTCCTCACGCGTCTCCCCCCCGCCTCTTTGCTCCTGGCCTCCCTCCTGCCTATTTTTCCTCCCGCCTTCCCTGCGCCCCTGGAATCGTTAAGTCGGGCCTGTCCCTCTACAGGGAGAGTATTCAAACATAATTGTCAAAAAATAGTCTGGGGAGTTTTTTGTGAGTATTTGGGGGCATCTGTTGAACATGTTTTTCAGTATTTTTTATTTTTCGTCCAAGATCAACCTGTAGGGGGACAGGCCCGACTCAACGGAATCGCCTCCGCACCCCGAGAGGCCCGGCCGGAGCAGACGCCCGCGTGCCGCGGAAGTGCCCGAGCCTGCTCTTGCCCCAGGACTGCGGCAGGGCGCCGGGGGCCCGAGGTCCAGCGCGCCGAGACCGCGGAGGGGGCGAGCTGATGGTACACTTACGTCGGGCTTGTCCCTCTACGGGAGAAATACCAAAACATAACCCAAAACAAATAGTCTGGGGACCACTGTTCTAGCATTTTGTTTGGCCCTCTCGGTCCCACCACTAACTCAACCGCTCTTCTGGCATATCTTGGGCCCTCTAATTCGATATCTTGAAAAATATAATAATAAATGAATAATATATTAAGTGCAGATCATAATTTTCATATATGCACAACAATATGACTTACACATATACAAATATATACATATATATGATTATATAAACATCTATTTATATGTGTATACATACATATATATGTATATATATATTCATATGCGCATATATACATATATATTATATATACATATGTACATATATGTATAAATATGTGTGTAAACCTATATATGTATTAAAGACAACGATGACACTACCGGCCTCCCAATCGATCTCCAACGACGCCACCACGAAACACCGCGAGACACCACGAGACACCACCGCGACACACCCCCAACCACCGCGTGGCATCCCAGGGGGAGGGGCAAGGGGGTGGGGTCAACCTAACCAATGACGGCATCACTCGTCTCGCCCTCCCACGCAGCTTTGCCTCGCCCGCACGCAAGACACGAACGCGAACCGAAACCGAAACCGAGTTCCTCGTGGGTTGAACATCACAACACCATTTCAGGGGAGGAGGGGGGCGAGGAGGAGGAAGATGCGGAGGAGGACGGGGCAGGGGGAGGAGGGAAGAGAGGAGGAGGAAGGAGGGAGGAGGGAGGAGGAGGAGGCGGAGGAGGAGGAGGAGGCGGACGAGGAGGGAGGGGTAGGACAGGAGGAGCAGGAGGGGAGGAGCCCAGCGCGCGAAACGCCGCTCGGCTCCGAGATGGATTTAGCGGAGGAGCTGGCCCCCCCGCGCCGTGGCGCCGGCGGCCCGCTCGAGGCAGCGTGGGTTGAACCTCACAGCACCGACCCAGGGGGGAGGGGGAGGAGGAGGAGGAAGATGTGGAGGAGAGGGAGAGGAGGAAGGAGGGAGGAGGAAAGAGGGAGGAGGGAGGAGGGAGGAGGAAGGGAGGGAGGGAGGGAGGGAGGGGAGGAGGGAGGGAGGGAGGGGGGGGGGGAGGGAGGGAGGGAGGGGGAGGAGGAAGGAGGAGGAGGAGAGGAGGAGGAGGAGGAGAGGAGGAGAGGGAGGAGGAGGAGGAGGAGGAGGAGGAGGAGGAGGAGGACGGGGGGGAAGGGGGAGGACAGGAGGAGCAGAAGGGGGAGGAGCCCAGCTCCCCGCCAGGCACTGCGGCGCCTGCCGAGCCGGCGCGGCGCTGGTCGCGATGGGCTGTTCGGCGGCGGCGAGCGCCGCGGCGAGGCCAAGGCCCTGCGCATGCGGGACGCCAGGGCCCTCCTCGTCTGCGAGCGCAAGCTCCAGAGACGCCAGTGGGAGGAGGAGAACAGTACAGATCCAGCTCTGTAGGCTCCTCCTCCTCCTCCTCCTCCCCCTCCTCCTCCTCCTCCTCCTCCTCCTCCTCCTCCTCCTCCCCTTCTCTGCCATCTTGTGGCCAGAGTAGCCTTCTGGCTGTCACGGAGTCTGCGCTTTCAGTTTCCCTCTTCATTCCCACTCTGGGTGCCCATCTGCGGCCCCAGAGCCTATGCAAAGTCATAGCACGCCACACGCGTTGAGACACGCAGAGCACGACCCAGCGTCCCAGCCTGCGTCTTACCTACCTACCCCTCCTCCTCCTCCTCCTCCTCCTCCTCCTCCTCCCCCTCCTCTTCCCCCTCCTCCTCCCCCCCCCCTTCCCGTTCGAGGAGGGGGCGTGGAGGAGGCAGGCCAAGAGAGTTGGATCGGTTCTGTTTCGCGCCTCCCAGTAAGACCGAGGCCCTCGCCCTCCAGAGGAAATGGGATGACGATCGGCATCGGCTCGGAGACCGAGTCGGCGAAGCAGGCCTGGCAATCCCTGGCTGACCACACTGTTCGCGCCCATCCCCCGCCCCCCTCAGGTCCTCGGAGGCTACCAGGCACGCCTGGGACTCCGATCGCGAGGGAGGTTGGGGATGGGCACGACGAAGGTCAGCCAGGCGTTGCCGAGTCAAAGGGGAGCAGGAGGCCGGCTGCCATCCCAACACGTGCACGCCCGAAGGGGTGTTGAAATCTTCCTGGCTCCAGATCGGGAAGAATAGAAACCTCCTGTCGGGCGTGGATGGGTCTAGTCACCAGCTCCTGGAGCTGACTGCCGTGAGCAGCGCCATCCACGACGAGCAGGTTGGACGACGCCAACCATGTAACATACCAGCTCGGTCAGCGCGTCCGCGGAAGCGAGCCATCGCAGACGCGCAGACCCTGCTGGTTTGGTACGTGGTTGGCGTCGTCCAAGCGGGTTCGATGGTTGCGCGAGCGGATGCGCGAGCTGGCTGATCAGCGCATGTGCCCGGTGGCGTCGTGCATGTGCGACGCCACGCCGTTGCGCATGGCCTTCGGCGCCATGCAGCCCACGGTGATGCCGCACGCGAGGTACCCCCTCGAGGCCGAGGACGGCCGCTGGAAGTCTGTCACGCTGTCGGAGTTCAGGCGCCGGGTGGAACCTTGACCTCGAGTGCCCAGCTGCTTGCTCACCCCACTGCCGCGCTTGCCGCGCCAACTTGAGGTTGGCTTGGCAACTCGGTGGGCAAGCACTTGGGCACTCGAGGTCATGGGTTTCCCTTCGCAGGGAGAAGACTGGCATGCAGGGGCCGCTACACCATGGAGTGCTGGAGCTGCTGGGCCAGCAGTTCACGGTGCATGCGATGCACCCGGTGAGCGGCGCCATGTGTGGATACCAGTTCATGGCGAGGCCTTGCATCTTGGAAGCATGCAACGCGAGCGTCTTGCTGAGCGCGCAGGAGACCGTCTGCCCGCCCCTCAGCATCGATAGCGTCAAGGATTACTGTGCGTCTGGATGCCCGCTGATGTTGTGGAATGAGCACCCGGACTCGCACAGCGCGAATTGCCGCAAGATGGAGGGCGCTTTTGACGAACTGCCTGCCAACTGCGTAGGCTATTAGGGGGGGGGCGAGAGGAGGAGTAGGAGGAGGAGAAGGAGAAGGAGGTGGAGGAGGAGGAGGTGGAGGAGGAGGGGGGGAGGAGGAGGAGGCGGAGGAGGAGGGAGAGGAGGAGGAGGAGGAGGAGGAGGAGGAGGAGGAAGGAGGTGGAGGAGGAGGAGGAGGAGGAGTAGGAGGAGGAGTAGGAGGAGGAGGAGGAGGAGGAGGAGACGAGGCGTTCCTGGGAGATGCGACGCACACCAGCTCCACCGGGTGATAGCAGTGCAGCATCGCGAGGTAATTGGAGATATATACTCTATCCATTGGACCTGCAGTCGACCAGATTATCAACAGCGTCTACAACTTGGACTGCGAGCTCTTCTGGAGGCAGAGCTGATTATCATCATCGGCGAGCCGGGCGTCGATCTGCGGGCCAAGCACTCGAAGATCGCCAACAACACCATCTTGCGGAAGGAGCAGCGGCTGCACGCAGATGGGTTCTGGGCAACCGACAGCTGGAAGACGAGAAAGAAACACGTCAGCAGATTTCTCGACATGTTCAACGGAGACTGGACGGTTGGGAACGTGGTGCATATATGCCAGGGCCCCAGCTGTTGTGCCAACAGGTCCGAGAGCATCGACAGCATGTTCTCAGCGGCCGTGTCCATCGACATGTTGATGGCCTCGGACACCGACAACCCGTCGGAGAAGGACTGGTCAACGTGCGGCGCAGCCGCGGGGAAGGTCTGCTTCGGCATCGCGTGCCACGACGTGCTCTCCAGGCTGTACACGTCTTGCGCGCCTTCTTGGCGCTCGGCCGGGTCGAACATTCGAGGTGATGGCGCCGAGATTGACAGACTTCGCTTGAAGACGAAACGGAAAACATGGAGAGCAAAGCTGGTATTGTCAGATGTGAAGCGCAAGCAGAAAATATTCCAAGTATGCTACCTTGGGTACCCGGTGGAAAGGATGATGGCCGTCCTCCAGCACAGGGATGGGTGCGGCAAACTATTGTACGATCTTGCTGGTGGGTTCAACGACGACATGAACCCGTTGCACTGCTGCCTCGCGGAGCTGCCCCACATGGTGACTGCCTGCTCTGCTGGTCCGCTTGGCCCCATCATAGAGTCGTTCCTTGACGAGTCCGAGCGCTTCGACTTTCTTGCGGGCTTACGTGCAGTGGCGTGCAACTTCGCATCTGGCTTGGCATGGCGTTTCGAGTTGTACCGCGTCTGGCCATACAAGTGGGCCAAGGTTCGGGGACTCCAGACATATGTAAGCCAGCACTTTCGACCCCCTTCCCACGGGCCACTCTGGCGGTAGGCGTCTCCAGCGGGGTTGGGAAATTTGGGGAGTGGTAGAATAATCGGGCCCACAATCGCCGCCAGCGGTGCCCTTAGGAGGGGGGGCGAAAGTGTTGGTTTATGTATGTCTGGGCCGTCCCCTCTCAGATCGCCCACCCTCGGAGGTCGCCTGCCATGGAGGCCGAGGTGTTCGCGCAATACAGCGCTGCTCAGCCGTGCTGCATGGATAAGCACTTCACATTGAAGTTGGGCGCGCTGTTTGGCTCGGCCGATGGCCTGAAAGCGTCCACGCCCTTCCGGCGCTTGGTGGCGACGTGGGGCTTCACCTTCGTCGCGACGGGCATGTACGTCGAGAGGCTCTTGTCGCTCACCAGGCAGTGCTGTGACTCGGGATCTGGTCTGCCAGGGACACATGTCTTTGTCATACAGTCTTCCTTCCAGGCCCCTTGCCCCCAAGGGTGGGGGGGATGAGGAGGAAGGAGGAGGAAGGGGGGGGAGGAGGAGGAGGAGGAGGTGGATGAGGAGGAGGAGGAGGAGAAGGAGGAGGAAGAGGAGGAGGAGGAGGAGGAGGAGGAGGAGGAGCGGGGGGAGGAGGAGGGGGAGGGGGATGGGGGAGGAGGAGGAGGAGGAGGAGGAGGAGGAGGAGGACAATGGCAACCCCTTAAATGTCGCATGGCAGGCGCGTTTAAGGGATATCGGGTTGGGGGGGCTGCCGGGGTCTGGCCCAGAAGATTGTAGTAGTGCTGACCAGATCTGAGTTGACTTCCAGCCTTCCAAGGGGGCCCAGATTTGGAGAGGATCTGTAGCTCGGCGCAGCTTGGCCAGTGTCTTCGGCAACACAAGAAGAACAACAACTCCGACCCGCGCGTGACGACTCGCCACGACCTGATCGACGCTGGTCTCAACATCAGAGCAGCCACCGCCGGCGGGAAGCAGAAGAGGAGGAAGACTCGGCCAGCGTCAGGTTTCATCAATTGGCTGAGCAAGATGGACGCGAACAGGAAAACCACTTCCATATCGATGACTCGCGCTGAGTACAATACTTGGCGGAGAGAGCGGATCGAGGAGTGGAGACGCATGGACAAGCACATGCAGGAGGCAGAGGCAGCAGAGGCTATCAAGAAGCATGACCAGAGGGCTGTTGAGAGAGAGGCTGCAGCTAGCGACGGTACCGGCGGCGCCAGTGACTGCGACGCGTCTTCAGCTCGCCCAGCGGAGCGCTTGCTTCAGACCATCGTGGATGTTGCTGGCGACGCGCGTACCCCTTTCACCAAGGAGTCCTTCATGTCTGTTGTGGCCCGCTGTATTGATCACGATGGACGTCGCCTCCCTGGACTGACATCTTACGGCCCAGTTCTTCGGAAGCGCCAGCAGGAGCAGCTTTTTATCAAGAACTCTGGCAGAATCCCTGCTGACAAGAAGCTCACGTATGCGACGCCATGTGGGATCAAGCACCCAGGATTGTGTGCAACGAAGGACAGAGAGCTGGTGACCTTATGTGAAACTTTGGCTAATCAGTTGCATACCTGCATGGCTGGCTCGTCGGACGGATGTTTCATCAGCATCACCTTCGTCGGCCATGATGTGAATGATGAGCTGTGGGCGCTCCTGGGATATCGTCGAGGTGCGCGCCCGAAGATGACAATGCTGTGCCCTGCGGAGCTGTGCGAGGACAACGTCATCAAGGTCATCAACTTCGTTGACTGGCGCTTGGCAGTCTCGCTCTTCGCCGTGTACTTGAGGAACGTGCCCGGCATCACTGAGGTGTACTGCTCCAAGGACACTAGCAGGGGGAGGAGAGGAGGGAGGAGGAGGAGGAGGACGGAGGGCGGAGGACGGAGGACGGAGGAGGAGGAGGAGGAGGACGAGGAGGAGGAGGAGGAGGAAGAGCGAGGGCGATGTTCGTAGATTTCAGTTTCTCGCCACTCCACCCTCCAGCTTCTCAGTTTCCATGTTTTACCTCATTCAACTTTTCTGGTTAAGGTGATTCCTCCGCGCCGTCCACCCAGCCAGGGGGCCCAGGAATACAGCAGGCCCGATTTGTCATCCAGCCGGGGGGGGGGCTTTTCGGTCTTGCTTGTTCGTTTGGCTTGGATGCTCTCTGAGCGCGCCCTGCCAGGCGCCCACCCAGGAGACCGGTTCGATCGCATGCGCTTCGCTGCCAGACAACTTCAGAGACATCATGTTTGAGTCCGAGAAGCAGATCTTCCCACCGCCAGCGCCAGTTCGCAGGCCGCCCCGCCATCCAGCGCACAAAGCCATCGGCAGTATTGGGCACGATGACGAGGAGCGCAGGGAGATGCGGAGACGTCGCCGTGAGAAGCGCGCTGCGCGCGCAGAGGGTGGGATCTCAGATCGTGACGAGTCGGAGTCAGCGGATATCTCCGACAGCATCGGCAGTTTCTCTGGCAGCTCTGGCGACGTGCCGATCGAGAAGCCCTTGGCGAAGGCGAAGGCCGCGGCGAAGGCTCTGGGCGGACCGCCCCTTCCGCCGCCGCCTGAGCCGCCGCCGGTGGTGGCCTTCCGTCCGCCCAAGCGGGCTGGCAAGGCGTGGCCGCACTGGAGGATCGGCAAGTACGGCTACTTGGTTTACGATTCAGTGAGCGACTCGCTCGGAGCCCATTGTTTCTGTGGACATGGGCAGTGCAGAATGAACAAAGTGTGTAGCAGGTTAGGACTTGGCTACCTGGTTGCGTGGCTGATGGATCCACATCGCATCGGCACCACCTCGTTGGATCGAGCCACGCACTTCGCACACGGGGCGTGGCTTCGGAGCGCTGCGGGCTTTCCTAGCAGGAAGGTTGCTCGCGACTGGCTCTTCGCGAACAACGACAAGGTGGAGGGGAATGATGACAACGAGTTCGATGATCTGATTGCGTTGGAGGCGGCTCACGGGGACCTATCTGAGCCTGCTGTTGTTTTCGGGTGATATTTTTATGGCACGCATCTCTTTATTCACGTGCCCTGCGGGGCGCCTTTTTTTTTGTCACCTGCGCATGGGTTCGCAGCTCCTTTCGCATGCTCGTGGGGCGAGCATCGGGCCGCTCTGCCTTTCAGCTCCTGGCCGCGAGCTTCAACCCATGCGCCCCTAGCAGATTTTCTGCGCTGACGCCAAGCCTCGAGATGGCTTGGGAGAAGCAGCGAGGCCGAATGCAATGCCTCGGATAGCTTGGGTGCGCGCCAACGACGCAGGCCTCACATGATAGGTGGAGAGAGACAAGAGGGGGAGAGAGGGGGAGAGACAAGAGGGGGAGAGAGGGGGGCCGAAAGAGGGGTCTGCCGCTCTTCCTCCTGAATTCGTCCTGGCCCTCCCACCCCTCCTCTCTCCTACTCGTCATCCTCCCTCCCACCTCTCGTCCTACCCCTCCCACTCCTCCTCGTCCTCCTCCTCCGCCCCACCTCTACCCTCTCCTACTCGTCCTCCTGCTTGGTGCCTGGAGGCCTGTCTGAACACTGCCCGAGCCAGTAGCATCGGCATGTTCCGTAAGGGCGCTTGTCCCCTGCTGCCCGCATCAGCACCATCGCCGATCGCCATCATGTTGCGTAGTAGTAGTAGTAGTAGTAGTAGTAGTAGTAGTAGTAGTAGTAATAGTAGTTGTAGTAGTAGTAGTAGTAGTAGCAGTAGTAGTAGTAGTAGTAGTAGCGCTCTGGATTGCTGCGCTTCACAGTAGCATCAGCATTGTGGGTAACAGAAGCCTCTTAACCCTGCTGCATTTGCTAGTGTCCTGGGCGTCCTCGGTCACCCCCAGGGGCGCGAAAATAATAGCGCTTCGCGCGTCGCGGCCTTGGCCGGGGAGCTGCCCTCCTCCGGGCCGGGCGCGAAGATAGCAGCCCAGCGTTGCGCGTCGTGGGGTGCGATGCGCGAAGGTCGGCGACCTGGGTGTCCCCAGCGTATTGCGCAACGGCGGCCTCTTATCCGTGCTGCGCTTGCCAGTGGCATCGCCGCGCAGATTTCCTTCTCGTGCTTGGCCAGTCGGTCGCAGAGATTCGCGCCTGAGGGCTCCTTGGTATGTGCCTGGGTAACTCCCAACCGTCGGGTGGGTGACGTATTTGTGTTGAATGGAGCGCTGCCAGATGGACCCCGCGGGGTCAGTGCGCTCGCAAACATATTCCAGATTCGTCCCGCAACATACGCAAGCGGGCTTCCGTTGCCATATTGGCTCAAACCAGGCGTGCTTTCGGCATTCTGGCGACACTACGTCTTCAAACTTTCATCTCTATCGCTCGCCCCTGGCACCTCGACAGACGCGTTTGTTCTGGGTCGATGACTTTGGACGACGCCACCCCGCTCACTGTGCTCGTCTCGGCTCGCAAGGGGCAGACAGCAGGCGCAGCCAGCAAAGCTCGCGCCCAGCCCGTCCATCTCGGGAAGATGGCACAGGCCGCTAAGCAGAAGGTGTCTTCCCCGAAATCGACGATCAAGAAGATAAAGAAGGATAAGATGGATAAGAAGTCCAAGGGGAAGGACAAGTACACGTATGAAAAGACACGCAAGGATGTTGGCGACGGCGAGACCGCCGCCAAGAAGGAGAAGAAAGATCTGGGCGATACCACCGCCAAGAAGGATAAGAAGGAGAAGAAGGATTCGGGCGAGACCACCGCCAAGAAGGATAAGAAGGATAAGAAGAGTTCAGGCGAGACCACCTCCAAGGAGGAGAAGAAGTGCGTGGGCCAGGAGAAAACCAAGAAGGAGCTGAAGCCCGGGAAAACCATGTTGGACTTTCTTCCGGCACCTACCGCTGACAGTGCTGGCCAATCTTCATCTTCGCAGCCATCGTTTCCGACTGCGCTGCTCGGCTCCACAGCTGGGCCGCCTGCGCCGCAGAAGTCGGAGAGCTACGAGGCCGATGGACCCATCGCCGATGGAGACGCAGCCCCGCCGAAGGCTCAGCGCCAGCGCGGTGAACCTCGACAGGTCCTCGTCATTGACATTGGCGCGCAGACGCCGGGGCTTCCACAGCAAGCGCCTGCCCAGCATATCGCTAAGGAGGCCGAGATCACCCACGAGGCCAGCGCCGACACCGTCGTCGAGACCAACGTCGAGACCAGCGAGCTGGCTTCCCAGCCGGCGCCGGAGCTGCCAGCAACGGTGACCCCTCAGCAGCAGGTGGCTGCTCTCTTGGAACCCGCTGAGGAGGCCGATCTCCAGCCGGCCGAGGTTGTAGAGCAGCCCGACATCGAACAGGACTGCCCCACGCCTGATGGTGAAGGCATGATGGAGGATGAGGGGTCTGACCTGAAGACCTTCAGCCTGCTGGGCGAAGATGATGCTGACCTGCCCGGCGATGCTGATGCTGATGGGGCGCGTCCACAGCCAGAGTCCTTGCCACCGACGGTCCCATTTGACTCTCAAGACACCATTGTTGGTCTTCTCCCATCGCTGCCTCAATCGCCGGCTGGCGTGGCTGCGATGCTCGAGACAGATGTCGCCGACGCCATCCCCAGCAGCCAGCAGAGCACGGGGACCGCGGCCAGTTTGCGGCGCGCGTTCGGCGGGGTCTTCACGAGCGAGGAGCTTCTGGATGAGACGCCAATTCTCAGCACTGGCTCCGAGCAGGCGCCTTTTGAGTCACAAACGGTGGGTTCTGGTGCACAAGATAGACAGACTGTCCCGAGGGCCACGCCTTACCAAAACACAATCAGAACAACAAAACACATTTTGCTATACGGCGGTTGCATTTGAAAAGACATACCTTCCTGCCAGGCCAGACCCTGGCGCATTCCTGTCAGTGTGCCCCACGACTGGCCACCCATCGGTCGCGGGGCCCTGGATTCCTCATCCAATGTTTCCTTATCAAATGCGTCCGTCGTATGTCGATTGGCTCTCCGGAGGCTGAGATCAGCGTGGATCAGTTGTTCGCGCCGACCGCGCAGCCGGCCAGTGCGCAGCGTCGTGGTGCTCTTGGAGCAATTGCAGCCTTGCGGTGCGTGCCTGAGGACGCTGCCATGGAGTGCGATGCCATGGAGGAGTTGGCGCAGGACCTATGGGGCCCTCCTCCCTCCTCCTCCTCCTCCCTCCTCCTCCTCCCTCCTCCTCATCCCCCCTCCGCCTTCCTCCTCTCGAGGGGCCCTCTTGGGGGGGAGACGTCAGGTCGGAGCTCGATCAGTCGGATTCAGTTGCAGTCTTGCTGGGGATATAAGCAGTACCAGTTTTGTGTTTCATTTGCAGCTCACTTGTGCGGGTCCTGGGCGAATATATTTTAAACATTGTGAAATAGTATTGAACTAATATAATATATAATATTAATTAATATCATTTATATAATAAAATAGTATTGAACTATATTATTTCTAATTAATTTTCATTTTTTCCGAAACTCCCACAAACTCCCACGGCCATGGGATTTTTTTTTCGCTCGATACACTCTCAAATTTGCAGCGGCGCCAAACTCCCACAAACTCCCACGGATAATTCCGAATTGCCTACTGTACTATTGTTTTTTTTACGTTGTGAACTATTTTCAAATATTTTTCCCCAGCGTGGTTTCTGCATTGTGTCCCATGCAAGGCTGCCTGGAAACTAGATCCACACTTGCGCCACCACCTAGCCACTAGAAGCACACCACCAACGCTCCTCGCACCATAGCCATAGTCCACTTGACCTGACTTAGATTACCAGCGGGAGACACGTGCCAACGCATAATGATAGTCGGTCCCCTCATGATATTGTTCGTTTCTCCTGTAGTCAGGACTTGATCCCAATATGTATGTGGCTGTCTGGCATCAGTGTCTGGGCATTGTCTGGATCTAGGTAACAGTGTCAACAGTTGAGATGTGCAGTGCGGCCCCTTCAGGACATCGACAAGAGTATGTACTTTCAGACGGGCACGACCGACCAGACGCCGAAACGCAAGCTACGTCTATGCCCGAGCTACGTTGTCGGCGGGAAGCTGGAGGAGCTCGTCGTCACCTACATCGACCAGTTGGGCGACGCCGATCAAGCCGACTTTCTGCATGCCGTCTCGAACATGCCTGCTGTGCTCGGCGGCTTGGGCATGGAGGTGTGGAGCTTATGCACTGGCACAGGTATCATGCACCACGCCCAGCAGGCAATTGAAGCTGTCCTCTCGCAGAAGTACTCCATCTTCTTGAAGCATCAGCACGTGCTGGCTTGCGAGCAGGACCCTCGCAAACGCAAGTTCGTAATTGCCGAGCTGGGCGTCCCCTTCGTTGCTGAGTCGATGGAGGAGCTGAGCAAAACCACTGCCTTGAACTACAGCGTGGACTTCAACAGGCCGACCATGGAGACTTTGCCGAGGGCAGTCTTTATGGAGGTCGGCTTTCCTTGTAAGTCTCGGAGCAGCCTCAACGCTGCATCATCAACCATGGTGAACTGCGTGCAGGACAACAAGGGGAAGACCGGGCATGGGTTCAAGGCTGCTGAGAATGTCGTTGACACTCATGATCCTCAACTTGGTGTTGCAGAGAACGTCAAGGGATTGCGAGTAGCTCCCCGCGGCGGCATCTCCGACGAGCAGCACATCTTGAACATGTTCCGCGGCCGTGGCTACTGGGCGCACAGCCAGCTCATGGGCGCCAAAGACTTCGGAAGCCCGGGCGTGAACAGGGAGCGCCTGTGGTGGGCGTTCATCAAGAACCTGGACGAGGACTACGCGGTTGTCAGCAAGTACTTCCAGAGGCTGGTGAACAGTTTCAAGCACGCGTGCAAGTCGCCGATGAGCGACTTCATCACCGTCGACGACAATCAGCGCCGGACCGAGGCCGCCAGGCTCGGCCTCGCGTTGCACGAGACTGAGGGCCCGAAGGAGAGCACAGCTACTAAGTCGCAGCAGCAGTGGAAGTTGGATCATCACCGCTATTTTACAGCAAACGGCATGACATGGCCAGCTTTGCCATCAGTGCTCGATCCTGTACGTCCCGGAGGGCTCCTTCCACGCGAGCGCGAGGTGGCGGCTTTCCTGCACGCTCACTTCGCGCCCACCTCTGAGCTGGAGTTCTTGGACGCCAACCAGAACATCGTGTGGTTTGTCAGGAGCTACGTGGACGATGACGGCGCGCTGAAGGCTGATCGCACTGGCTCGCCGTGGAAGCCCACCATCCCCACGTTGACTGGCAACGCCACGATGCTGGTCCGCATCAGCAACCTCCAGGCTGGCACGAGCACCATTCGCTTGATCGAAAGCTTCGAGTCGATGAGGCTGATCGGCTGGTTCGACGAGCTCTGGAAGCCGCTGCCGCCGGGTCGGGGCAGGCGCAACCCTGACAACTCAGGCCTGCTGGCGAAGCCGTTCAGCGGGCTCTTGGCGGACATGTCTGGGAACGCCTACTGCGTCTGGCACTGCGTCCCGTGGCTCTTGGCAGTGTACGCGACGACGGGCAAGTTCGGCAAGCGCAACCGCGGCCTGGACCCAGCTTCGCCTTCTCCGTCTTCGGCTTCGAGGCGTTCGAGGTCGCCTTCAGACCACGGTGGGAAGCGCCGCCGTGCGCGCGCCACCGACGAGTCCACCAGTTCGGACTGAGACCGTGACCAGGTTGGCCCTGAGGGTGGGTAGGGTGAACCGTTGAATGTGGCATCATCCCGTCGCTGATTCGGGCCCCCTGGGCTCTTGCAGGATGGCTCGGGAAGTCCATCGCAGAGGTTGGGTTCGGCCTTCTGGTCGCGTGTTATTTCCTCTCACGTTCACATGGCTCAAGCCATTTTGGCTCATGGCTCAAGGCC